CACGAATAATATTAATACTGTTAATGATGGTCCTGGTTTTCTTCAGGTGATAAAGGGAGGTGGAGACTGGAGAAATGGATAGTGGTTTAATTTATGGACATATTAGAAGGGCAGCTGTTTAACTTCAATGCAGGGATGCCCATCCAGAGGACTGGGCCATAAATTTAAAGATGCAACTAATGGGGAAAGAGAAAGCTGTTAGATAAGGAATGTGAAGATCCCCCACTCAGCAGCAAATTAAGTAAGACAGCCGAGAACTAACCAATCACAAAGAGACTGGTGAAGTTTTAGAATAATGAGGGAAAAAAGGTATATATTCCCTAAGACACGACTCTACTTTGGCTTCCTTGCCCCAGGGAGTCCCACTTCATTTCTGCTCTTTTCCTCCTCAATAAACTTTTTCTTTCTATAAACGAACCTGCCTCTTCTCGCTTGCTTGCCTGAGCGTCTGCGAAATTCCTGCTGCGGCTTCGTGAGACACCAACCCTGGGGGGTCTAGTGGCTGGGACTCAGCGCTGCCCTGCAGCCTGAGATCCGTTCCTGGCTGGGAGACTAGACCTGACAATTCCGGTATCACCTAGAATCACAATGTTTCTCTATTAAAAAATGAAAATTCACAGATTTGGAGATCTATTTGTCTTTATTAAACAAAATAAATTATTCTTAATGAATTGGACAGCATGCAGTCTAGATTTTGGAAGGCTTCACACAAAATGGAGGGTATTTACAGAATGGAGGGTATTCTGTAAATACCCTCCATTCTGAAAAGAAAGAAGGTGGGACAATATTATTAGCAAAAGAAAAGATTACTTCTGCCTTTCTTCAGAGGAGGACAGGGGGTTTTACTATGCAGGTTACCTCGCTGGTGCAGATTTAGGAAACTCCAGATAGATCACACACTACACACTACAATATCACACACTACAGAGAGGCTGAAACTATAGGAGGTATTACGTCTGGGTGGGGGCTCAGCATAAAGGAATCTGGGGCACTTTTTTTTTCTATTTTTAACACCTCAAATAGCCACAGTGATGTTAGTGGACCAAGATGGGCTTCCTGGCTCTTTCTTCTTTGGGATGTTATTTCCTAGTATCCCTTCCACTCCCTAAATCAAAGTGTCCTTTGATAGGAAAGAAATTGTATCTCACTGTGATTATTTTTTTTAATTCCCTGACTACATCTGAGGTTATGCATCTTTTTCCCTGAAAGATGAGGTATTGGGAAGGGGATGTAGGCCATTTCTATAGGTCACTACACATGTTCAGTAATGCCAGGAATTTGGCAAGCACCATTTAATCTCAAGGTCGTAGGATACTGTGCCACATTACCTTACTCCCATAGAAAGGAGACTACTGGGAAATAAATTAAGTCCTAAGTTATTTTTTATTGGTTGTGAAATTATGGGTGATTTTTTATTCATCCTGGTAATTTTTCCCTACTTTCCAAGTTTTCTCTGGCAAAGATGTTTTAAGTCCATATGGTGGGTTGTGTACAAGAAGTTAAATCTAGAATGAAGAGCTGGCAGTACTGGCTACAAAAGACTGAGTGAACTAACTTGAAAGGCATTGCCTGAGGTCATTCCCTGAGGCAAAAGGAAGCAAGAGACCAAGACCTTCTGGGTCCTGATCCTTAAATGGTAGGTAATAATTCATGGCCCTCAAGCTATTTGTGCCCCATTGCTTTACCATGCTCCTCCAAACTGATGAAATCCTACACCATGGATACCAGGGGCCTGAATTTCCAAGAATTCGCTCATTAGAATGGTTTGACCTGACCAGAGCATTTTCCAAATGGTTCTGGGGATCAGTCCTCTAAGGCAGAATCTTCTACGCAAGATCCCTCAACATTTTGGGGATGCCATTGTGTCATCTATAGCATCTTTTGTATGTCACACTCCCCATACTTGGCTAGCAGTATAGGCGATGGGAGACAGTGCAAGTAGGGAGGGGGCAGTCATGCTGAATAGGCCAGAGGAGAGAACCTTGGAAGTTCTGTGGGTTTGCATGGATGGAGAAAACCAGAAATTAGATAGCCACAAGGATGATAGCTTTTATTTTCTAGAAAAGCCTCAGTAAATAGGCCCATGGTTTCTTTTTCCGGTGGGCAATATGGATATGCTAGAGTGAAAGGTAGTTATCATCACCAATCTAACAGACTCAATGGTGGCTAATGACTACTTCTTTAGTATGAGTTGTAGAACAAGAATTTAGCATTGACCAGACAGGTACACCAGCAGTGCTATTGGTGGAAACTGTAGCAATCAATATACATAGGATTTGTGGATATGACTGAAAGATATGATTTATTCAAATGTGTGCACAAAGGCTAAGCAGGTTTAGGGAGCAATCATACCTCGCCACTCACCAAAAGCTGGGTTAGAAAATATGGGCCTCCCCTGGTGGCGCAGCGGTTGAGTGCTGGGCTACGAAGCTGCCTGTGGCCTCTGCAGTGCTGGTTCAATCCCCGGCTGCCGGGGAGGGTCCCACTTGGCGTGACAGACATCTCCTGCCGCACCCACTGCTCCCCTTAGCAGTGTCTTTCATCAGTCTGCCTGTCCTGTTCCCCACTCTGGCTCTGGTGAATTCTCTCACCCTTCTGCGCTTCTGACTGTACTTGTATAAATAAATAATCTAAAAAAATTAAAAAAGAAAATAATCTGTGGCTGTGGTCATGTATCACATGACTCAATAACCCAAGAAACAAACATTAAAACTATTAAAACTATCAGCTGATTGTAGTTGGACTAGGGCGGAGTGAAAGAAGAGGAATCAGAATAAGGATAGTGTAGGTTGTCAGAGAGTGAACCAGAAATTAAATCTGGTAGAGTCTTTACAGGCCAAGGACTGGGCTTTTACTCTGAATAAGAACAGAAGTCATTGGAAGGCTTAGAGCTGAGGAATTACACAGCTTACAAAATGCATCAATATAAAAGAAAACATATATCTTGGGTAAGAAAATCAAAAGCAAGCTAAAAAGAGGAAGTCTAATCAGATGACTGATATCAACACCAAGTACATGCCATTAAGTTTCTATATATTTACTGCCAGTCAACCACAGAAGTGGATCTAAGTTTTCTAGCTGCCAAAATGGAAAGATGGAAAGGTGATCATGGGCAGGAATCACAGTATCCTGGATATCAAATCTGCTAACTGCATAGGAGTAACAATGCTTTTCCCTAAAATGAATTTCTACCATGAGTCATCCTAGGGAGGTTACTGTAAATTGAATGAACTTCCTCTTCAACACTATCTCCAGTAGGTACAATGACATTCATGGAGATAGTTTTCAAACACCCTCAGGTGAGCCCAGTAATGCAAAGGTAGTTTGTTTCCTTACCCTCATTGTTAGCAGGTAGCTTGAGGGATACCTCAGGATGCTCAAACTTTTCATACTCTAGGGTTCTGTCATCTGCCGCATAAAGACAAATATACTCAGTGCACAAGACCTTCAATAGAAAAGAACTTTAATAGAATCAGTGTGCAGCAGACACAAGAGAAGAGTAGTTTCCAATTGCCCATCCCCTCGTGGATAAATGCCCAGCTACACAGGGTTGGCCCAAAGTGGGGCTATTGAAACCTGAAAGCAACCTTCTAGCAGGGAATCACAAGAAAGGAGCACAAGGTGCCAGGTAAGTCTGGAAGGAAAGGTGCAAAATTAAAGTCATTGGATTTTATCAGCCCAAGATAAAGGGTGCCACTGTCAGCCTTCCCACAGGTCTCTCATTCATGTCTCTTCCAAGTATCTCCTTCCATGTCCCCCAAGTCCCTGGTACAAGTCCAAGACTGAGAAAAGTGTGTCTTCACATGTCTCTATGCTCCGTGCCCCTCCTCCAAGTCTTCTCCCTCAAATCCTCTTCCAGAGGCCTTTTTATTTTCCCCTCACTGCTCAGCTCTGCCCTTCATTAAGTGGAGAAGGGAATAGGGACTCTCCCCTTGTTAGATTACACTGTTACAGCTTCACTAACACCAATTGCTTGCTAACAATGTTCACTTATTTATGGGTGTCTAATGTGTCTTTGTTTCTTTGTTTTGCTGTCTGGCTTGCTATTTATTACCTGTATTTGTTCCTTAGGGTTATTTACCCTTTGCCTGTTATGGGTGCTTAAAATAGTTTTCTTTCTCTTGTGACTTTGTTGCTGATGCTACAACTATAAGGGGGAAATTAAAAGAAACATAGTTTGTGGGGAACACTGACAGGTACCTCTCATTTTTCACTGGATCAATAAATGAGTAAAGATGGAGAATGCCGATAATATGTATATTTATTCATTCAACAAGTATTTGTTGAGCACCTAATACATTCCAATCACTATTGGGATAAATTAGTGAACAGTTGGGTACACAATAATAGCAGCAAAATACCCAGCTTTGAATAGCTTGCATTCTAGTGGGCAGAGACAAAGGATCATAAGGAAATAAGTTACATAATGTGTTGAAGTAAAAAATTCAAGACAGAACAAAATAAGGCAGGGTAAATGGGAATTGTGTGTTTATGGGGCACTGGAAATAAGATATTTAGGGGTACGTCACATTGAAAGGTGATATTTAATGAAAGACAGGAAAGAGATAAGGAAGGTTGCCACATAGATATTTGGGGAAAGAGGTTCCAAACTGAAAGATGGTGCCAAAGACCCTACTTTGGCAAGGAGGTCACTGCAGTCAAAGGGTAGAGGAATGAGAAAGGAGGAGAGTATTAGGAGATAGGTAATTAGCGAACAAAATTACATATGGCCTTGTAGGTAATTATAAGGAATCACAATTTACCCTGCAGGAAATGAAAGTTGCTGGTTTTGAAAAAGACATTATATGATCTAATCATATGTTTCAATAGCATTATTTAGCTGCTAGAATGATTATCAGTGGGGTGGCTTGATGGGGGGAGCAGGAAACAAGTGAAGAAGTGACTCCAATAAGATGGGAGAAGAACTGAATGTTGCTTGGAACAGGATGGTGGTGTTATAGGACAGGGAGAGGGGCAGCCCAAGCCCCGCAAACCTGCCTATTCTAAATGGGTTCTGCCATCCGCCGCATCAACACAAAACACATGAGACTTTAATGGGAAGGAACTTTAATAAAACTAGGAAACAATACAGGTAAGGCAAAGAGTCTAGTTTCTAAATGAAGCACCCAAAGTTACCCATCCCCTCGTGGGTAAAAGTCCATCCATATGGGATCAGCCCAGAACAAGGCCCCAAAGACTACCACAAGTCTAAAACATCTTCCAGTGGGGACCCACAGAAAAGGGTCACAAACAACTGGACAAGCCCGGAAGGAAAAGAGCAAAATCAACATCAAGATAAAAACTGCCATTGTCACCTCCCCACGGGTCTCACCCACATCTGTGTCACCCAGTCCACGACCAAAAGACAAGCAGTTTCTTTATGTGTCTCTAGGCTCCATGCGCCTCCTCCAGGTCTCCTTCTGGCTCCATCCTGCTTCCTTCCTCAGTCTCTTCTGCAGCTTCTCCTCTTCCTGCTCAGCTCCACCCTCCCTTGGGTGGGGCAGGGAACCTGGAACTTCCCCCTTTCCTGGGGACCACCCTGTTACAGTAGCAGTGACCGTTTTGAGAAGTAATCAGATTCTGGACATATTTTGTCAAGAGATCACAGAATTTTCTGACAGGTTGAAAGTGGGGGTGGATGTAAGGGCAGAGTGAAGGCTCACTCTTGAGTCTATGGCAGGAACAACTGGAGGATAAAGTCGCCATTACCCTGTGGTACAAAACACTGAAAGTAAAGAAGGTGTTGGGTAGCTCCGTTTTGAATTGGTTAACTCAGATGGACTTTTACGGCATCTTCTCAGTGAATTAGAAAGAGGGGTCATCAGCTAAGAGTGAGGATGCGGGAGATCGTTGGAGGCTTGAAGAGAAAAAAATAAGTTGTAAAATAGAAGGGTGGGCAGGGATGGGGTCTGGAGAGAAAAGAGTAGTTTGAGATTTGTTCTAAAAACCTGGTGAAAAGATGTTTTATTTAAATGGAGGTATTGGGTGCTCCAAGACCAGAAATGTTCATTCTGCATGATCCAGTCAGAAAACTACTTTTTACTGATCTTTGAGCCTGTCAACACAGAAGTGCTCTTTCTGGAGACGATAGTATGGAGAGTTCTGAGTGAGGGAATCAGTTATCTTAAACTTCTTCAGGCATGCTGAAGAAGAACAGGTAGAGCAGCGACATAAGACAGAACACAATTCATCTGGACTTCTGGCTTATGCACTTTGACTATTGCTTATAAACAAACAGCTCATACATCTAAGCAAACCCAAATGTTGGCAGTCAGAAAGGGCATTCAGAAGGTGAAAAAGGAAACCCATAAGCCCATCACCTTATAACCAATGGAGTATGTAGAGGCTGGCTTATAAGCAAGTTCCAAAGGCCTGCTGGCCTGCTTATTTCAAACTGCTGTGTGGGTATTTATTGCTCCTAGGAAGCATTTCATTCAATACTCCGATGCCACTTACCAAGGCACTAAAGCAAGGGTATACGTAGAAGGAAGACATCGCCAAGCATTGCCACTTAAGCATGTCAGAGAGTAGGAAGGAATACCCTTGTACCAAACTTGACCTTCAAAACCAGAAAAACAGGAATTCTCTTTTCTCCTACAATATGTGTATGTGTGTATACTTACATATGTATGTGTTTATACACATATATGTGTATATATAGATATGTATGGATTTCTCTTCCAGATGAGGTCTCTCAAATTTCTTTTGAATTCAATGATGCACATGCAGAACAGGGTGGAAGTAAGGCTGAAATAAAAAATAACAGGCCTATATGCAAATTCCACACAAAGTATATCAAGCAAAAACTTATAGAAGATAAGGCCGTTTAATTCACTGTCTGCCTGATTTCCTAAGTAATTAGAATTTGTGACTGGAAAGTGCTTTACCCTCCATCCTCCATCACCAACCTAAACTGCAAACAGGTACCTGTGTTCACAGACAGAAGAGAAGCCTTTACCACCAGCTCCCCAATAGGGAGGGGATTATAACTGGGCTCCTATTAATACTGTTAAGTCTATCCTCTACCTGTATGTAGTACGCCAGGCAATGTCTTCCATCACTGCACCAGCAGATGGAGATTCTCTATCTCCCTTTTACCTGAGTTCCATCTTCCAGGGAGACTGTGCATTCCTCAATATTCCTGCCTTGCCAGCTCCAGGCTGTAACACACTGAGAATTAAACAGATGCTTCTGTCTGTCTGCACTGTCACCTACAGCGGTGGCCAGCCTGTGTTCTGTAATTTCCGTCTTCCTTGCTCTCCATACAGCACCATGCTTCCTCAGAGCAGTACCGAAACTCAATGAGGAAAATTTGGTAAATACCCCGTGATCAGTGGTATGGATCCAGGTGGTGGTGACTAGCTATCCTTTGGGATACTCCACACATTCAACAGAGGGCTTGAATTGCTGGAACCTAAAAAATTAAACTTTTAGAAATGCACTGATCAGGAGGGCTGGGAATTTAAGGATCAGCACCTCACACTCCTATACTATTTTGCCCAAAATAAAAATAGGCTATAGTTATACCACCTCCTCTGGGTGTACCTGTTGCTCATTGCCTTTTGCCATGAAATACAGAAAGATAAAAAGAACCATGAGGATACCTGGCAATCTTCTGCATTTAACAATGCAGCCCCTACTCCAGCCACTATTTGGATACAATGTTTTCTCCTTATCCTCGTTTGGCATAAATATAAGGAATGCATCCCATACACTTTACACAATGGATGGGTAGATTCCAGGCAACTAGTCCTGTAGTCAAAGAAACCAGGAATATGTGTGTCCTGTTTAATAGCTTAATTATTGAGCACATAAGGTATTTTACACATAGAAATTTTTAGGCCACACAAACACAATTGTAGTGCCTTGTGCCAAGTCTACAAAACCTCCAAAACTATGCAGGCCATACCTCACCATGAACACACTCCAAACTCTAATCTGTATTAAAATTCCACTGGCGGCCCATTGCCAGTACTGCAGGCTGTGACAATCCTCCATTGCAGCAAAACAAAGCCCCACTGGGATCCAGCCCAAAAGACAAGATCCCGGGACCCACAGAACAAGGAGACCAGAGGGAAGGCAGGCCACCTGGAGGAAGGGAACCAGGCATCCCTACCTTCCCAACTGTGTGAAGTTCAACGGGAAAAAAAGCCTTTTTGTGGTTTGTAGTTTTTAATTTTCTTACATCATTGTGCATTTCCAGGTAGTATTTCATTTCTCCCCTCAAATGTAGTCTCTGTAATTCTCCCACAACCACGGCACCCTTGACCCATCACCACAGTCCCTTGTGCTCTTTCCTCCCCTGTTTTGACCCCTCTCCCACCTCCTCTCCTGCCTCAGACCTAATGTTTGCCTGCAAGTTTTGTCATTTTTCTGAACTTTTGTTACGTCTCCCTGCATTCCAGCTATGAGTGAAGCCATCACATATTTTTCTTGGGTAAAAAAAGACTTTAAGGTAAGTGCTCAAGACTCAGCCTACCAGTTCCTGTAGTCCACATTCTAATGCTCTACTGCCAAAACCTTCTATCAGAATTTCCCATTCAAATGCTAATTTCGAGTCTAGTAGCTCCTGTCAGGAATAAAACAGCAAAAATATCTCTATTTTAATCTAAGCCTCTGTGTTAATGAGACATAAAACAATGTAAAACCTACAAGCTTGTATTCTTAGCAACATCATCAAAGCCATACAAGAGCTCAGATAATGTCCTCAACTGTCATTTCCTTGAAAAAGACCAATGCGTCTACCCGAGGTAAACGGGGCACATCCACCCTCTTCCTTTGTCATCGGGCCCGTTTTCTTGTCTTACTGCCCTGATTGCTGTCTGACATTAACTCCGTGATTCACGCGTTTGTCTTCTGCCTGCACCCCCACGAGGAACGGTCGCTGAGAACAGGGCCCCTGGGTTCTCGTCTGGGGTCCCCAAGGTCTAAATCCGGGCCTGGCACATAATGGGTGCTCAGCGAATTTACCCATTTCGTGACTGCAGGCTGGACAGGCGTGGCCGGATGGCCCACGCCCACGAAAGGCGTTCCAGGGCTCGCACGCCAGCGCCAGGCCTCGGCCCACAAAGGAAAGGCACCGCAGAGCGCGCCCGGCAAAGAGCTTCCAGTCCCAACAGCCCCACCACCCGGCGGGCCCCGGAAGGCGCGCAGCCCTGCCGCGCGAGCACGCGCGGGGCGCCCCTCCAAGGCTCTGAGGCCGGGTCTGGGAACGCACGTCTCCCTCTCGAGGGCTCGCGTCTCCCCGGCCGTGTCCGCCGCCCGCGGCTCGCAGTCCGTAACGCTAGCGCAGGCGCCGGGCGCGCGCAGGCCGCGGCCACACTTCCCGGCGGCCCCCGGAAAGGCGGTGCCGCAGCGGCCGGGACTTCCGGCCGCCGTTGCTATGGCTCCGGGCGGGGCGGCGGGAGACGCCCGCCCGCCTCACAATGGCCGGTCGACGGCCCCGGCACCCCCACTAACTGCTACGTGGGCTCCCGCCTCGAGTCATTGTCGCCGTCCCCTTCCCGCGTACCTCGCTCGCGTCCCGTAACGGACGGCTTGGGGCCAGAGGCCGACACCCGGCCGCGGAGCGAGCGCCCTCGCGGACCGACCTCGCTCGGAGAAACTTTGGCCGCTGGGTGGCAGCATCGCTCCGCCAAGGCGCGCCGCCCCGTTCCTCCCCGCCCTTCGTGTTTGGAAAAAACAGCGCGCGTCGCTGCCAACGGTGCAGTCTGGGGCTGCCAGGCTGGCGCCAAGGGAGGCCTCCTCCAGTTCCCTGCCCTTTCCTTTAAATCTTTGTGCTTGGTGACAGTAAATATCATTCAATGTTTGCTTTAATACTAGCCTACTTGTAAACTTTCTTGAATAGGCATTTTGGGGAGGGGGGTGGGGAGGGGGTAGTGGTGGGGGAGAAGGTATGTAGAACTTTGTGCCAAATCCCATAGGGTTTATTTTTTTGTTGTTCATTAAATGAATCTCAAGACGCTGAGTATATAAATGTTGAAAACTCAGCATTATAAATTGTTTTATTTATATTTTATAAATATGTAATTTCTATATATTATATAATATTTGATATATATTTATTATAAATTATAAAGGTGGTAAATATCACCCCTACTCCACCGATGACATATTTTTTTTATTGCTCTTTATCATGGTAGTATTGTAGTTTCCATTCCAGAAAGGTTATGAAGTCTCTGCAAAGGGGGCAATACATTTAGAAGCAGAAAAACAGCAAAGAACTTGCAAATTAAAGAGAAGGGGATTTTACAGAGTTTGTCTACACTTGCAGGCCCTATCCTGGTGTGATAAAGCTGGAAGGTCGCCTCCACCACTGAGGCTGATGTGGTTTTTGAGAGTTCGGCTTGAGGGGTCCTTGGGTTCACTCTGGGAGAGGTTTCACCACAGCTCCTGTTTCCCTGGCATGAGGCGACTTTCCCAGGCGAGTCCATGAGACGTCAGTTATATTTGAAGAGCAGGTTTATTAGGGAAAGGTGATCCTGGAATTTTAGGTTTTCAGGCCTAGTCTCCCAGCCAGGAACGGATCCCAGGCTGCAGGGGCAGGGCTGAGTCCCAGCCACTAGACCACCACGGGTTGGTATCTCAGGAAGCCGCAGCAGGAACTTCCCAGCTCCTCAGGCAAGCAAGCAAGAAGAGGCAGGTTTGTTTAGAGAAAGAAAAAGTTTATTGAGGAGAAAAGGAACAAAAATAAAGTGGGACTCCAGGCCATGGAACAGGCTAGGGAGCGGCAAGGAAGCCAAAGTGGAGTCATGTCTCAGGGAATATATACGTCCTTTCCCTAAATATTCTAAAGGTCCACCAGTCTCTGTGATGGGTTAGTTCTCTGTGGTCTCACTCACTGCCTAAATGTCTCTGTGTCCCAGCCTTTATCTTTTTTTCTTCATTGCCCTCTATTTGGAATGTCTTGTTGACCCTAAGATCATAAAGAAAGTCCTTAATGTCATAAGTCCTGGGGTGTTTGATTAGTCCCCTTTGGAATTTGTGGCCCTTCTCTCTGGAGCCTGCCTTAACAATCCTGAAGTCCCAGCACTGTCCTTGAGGCTGCCTAATTACCCTAATGAGACAGGGCAAGCTAGGGTTATTAGGCAGTTTTAGGGATAGTGCAGGAGGGGACCTCTGAAGAATTTAGGGAGGCTTCAGAGATAAGGACAACCAAAGAAATATAACCAATTCCATTAGGAAAAACAAACATGCCAGGACCAAGGACAACATTGTTAATGCTGGTCCTGGTTTCCTTCAGGTGGTAAAGGGAGGCGGAGATTGGAGAAATGGAGAGTGGTTTAATTTATGGTCACATTAGAAGGGCAGCTGTTTAACTTCAATGCAGGGATGTCCATCCAGAGGACTGGGCCATAAATTTAAAGATGCAACAAATGGGGAAAGACAAAGCTGTTAGATAAGGAATGTGAAGATCCCCCACTCAGCAGCAAATTAAGTGAGACAGCCGAGAACTAACCAATCACAGAGAGACTGGTGAAGTTTTAGAATAATGAGGGAAAAAAAGGTATATATTCCCTGAAACACAATTCCACTTTGGCTTCCTTGCCCCTCCCAGGCCTGGTTCCCTGGCCTGGGAGTCCCACTTTATTTCTGCTCTTTTCCTCCTCAATAAACTTTTTCTTTCTATAAACAAACTGCCTCTTCTCGCTTGCTTGCCTGAGCGCCTGCGAAGTTCCTGCTGCGGCTTCGTGAGACACCAACCCGTGGGGGGTCTAGCGGCTGGGGCTCAGCACTGCCCTGCAGCCTGGAATCCATTCCTGGCTGGGAGACTAGACCTGACAATTCCGGTATCACTAACTTGCCCTAGGATTCAAAGGGACATAAGAATAAAGGACACTTACATAGACAAAAGCGGGCAGTTGAGCTGCCCAGAAAGGGACAGGTTTGCTGAGAGAGGCCTGCAAAGTTGCAGGCGGGTGGCCTTGAGTGGGGCTCCTGCTGCCCTGCAGAGGGACAGAGTCGGTGAAAAGAGGCACCTTCAGAGGCACTGGTGGGCAGAGGGAGTGCTACCCTGAGCCTGTGCAGAGACTGCACTGATAGTCTTTTTCACTTTGGGAGAGGCTCACTCCTTTGTGGAGTGGCCTGTTTGCTGCTGATTTTGGGTAATACGCAGCATCTGAAAGGGACCAGAGATTCCAAGATGGGCCCAATCTCTATAGCTTTACCCTCAGTCTGTGCTCTAGACACTCCCTATGGCGCCTGACACCTGCTTAGGCCCTATGCCTTGTGATAAGGCACTGGTCTTAAGAATCTTGATTTCTATACCTGGGTTAATGGTCACGATAATCCCCTCTACCCCACCTCCTGTGTGAGTCAGGTTTTAGTCTTGAGGCCTCCTTTTTAGGTTTTGTATTCTTTCCTCCATCAAGACCTCCTTATAGATTTCCTGCTTTTAGGGAAATACGAAACTAGGGGAAACATCTTTCTTGGATCGTGCTTCAGTTCGTCTGTTAACTTGGTTCAGTTTGAAGAAATCAGCTCGCAGCTCAGGCACACCCTCCCGCAGCTGTCACCACGGTGACAGCAGCCTCTGTACCAGATTGGGCTCCTAGTCTAGCACCATCCCCGGGACATGTGATCACCAAGGCCAGCCTCAGCAAGAATTGTTTGGTTTGTTTGGCCAGAAGCACCCTTACCTATGATGCTTCCTCTTAGTAAATTTCCATCCCGAGAGGCCCACAGTCGCTGTTAGCTACAAATCCTGAACGGAGTGGAGAAGTCTGGATGGAAGTACTATTTGCTGAAGGAGGCCTCGCTTGGCGCCAGCCTGGCAGCCCCAGACTGCACCGTTGGCAGCGACGCGCGCTGTTTTTTCCAAACACGAAGGGCGGGGGAGGAACGGGGCGGCGCGCCTTGGCGGAGCGATGCTGCCACCCAGCGGCCAAAGTTTCTCCGAGCGAGGTCGGTCCGCGAGGGCGCTCGCTCCGCGGCCGGGTGTCGGCCTCTGGCCCCAAGCCGTCCGTTACGGGACGCGAGCGAGGTACGCGGGAAGGGGACGGCGACAATGACTCGAGGCGGGAGCCCACGTAGCAGTTAGTGGGGGTGCCGGGGCCGTCGACCGGCCATTGTGAGGCGGGCGGGCGTCTCCCGCCGCCCCCGCCCGGAGCCATAGCAACGGCGGCCGGAAGTCCCGGCCGCTGCGGCACCGCCTTTCCGGGGGCCGCCGGGAAGTGTGGCCGCGGCCTGCGCGCGCCCGGCGCCTGCGCTAGCGTTACGGACTGCGAGCCGCGGGCGGCGGACACGGCCGGGGAGACGCGAGCCCTCGAGAGGGAGACGTGCGTTCCCAGACCCGGCCTCAGAGCCTTGGAGGGGCGCCCCGCGCGTGCTCGCGCGGCAGGGCTGCGCGCCTTCCGGGGCCCGCCGGGTGGTGGGGCTGTTGGGACTGGAAGCTCTTTGCCGGGCGCGCTCTGCGGTGCCTTTCCTTTGTGGGCCGAGGCCTGGCGCTGGCGTGCGAGCCCTGGAACGCCTTTCGTGGGCGTGGGCCATCCGGCCACGCCTGTCCAGCCTGCAGTCACGAAATGGGTAAATTCGCTGAGCACCCATTATGTGCCAGGCCCGGATTTAGACCTTGGGGACCCCAGACGAGAACCCAGGGGCCCTGTTCTCAGCGACCGTTCCTCGTGGGGGTGCAGGCAGAAGACAAACGCGTGAATCACGGAGTTAATGTCAGACAGCAATCAGGGCAGTAAGACAAGAAAACGGGCCCGATGACAAAGGAAGAGGGTGGATGTGCCCCGTTTACCTCGGGTAGACGCATTGGTCTTTTTCAAGGAAATGACAGTTGAGGACATTATCTGAGCTCTTGTATGGCTTTGATGATGTGCTGAGGGGGGTCACATATATGATGGTGGCTGGAAACTAGACTTTTGTTGGAGATCAAAATGTAACATATGCAGATGTCAAATTAAAATGCTCTCTGTTTGGAACCCATATAATGTTATAATATTAAGGTAACAAACTAATGTTACTTCAATACAATAATTAGCAAAGATGTCAAGTCAATAACCAAGCCGTAAATTCAACATCGTTGTTGGTTCCAGCCTTTTCCCTCTTACTTTAGTTTTCATCATCAAGGCTCTGAAAGGGATACGTTTCCATTTTTGGTCTTTAATCAAGGTCATTAGAAGAATCTAGATATGTTTATAGACCCTTTTTAAATTTCTGTTACTCTTAATGATTTCAGTGAAGCATATCCCTTAACACCCACCATTGACACCACTCTGTTCTTGTTCTTCAGGTTCACAGCTTTGATGAAATGGACATGCCTGACTGGTGAGAAGTAACTGTCACTGACTATTCCTTTTTTGTAGTCCTTCATCACTTTGAGATGTTTCTCCAGGTCAGTCAGTCAACATGGTTTCTCCCTGGCAATAGCAGTGGATTTTGTACACTTAGTGGACATGATGAACAAAACAACAGCATAAAGTTATATGAAGTATGGGCACAGTGATGATTTCAAGAGAAATGGTAGCATGAGATGGATGAGGCTGCTGCTGTGTAAAATACTGTGGCATTATGATATCTACATGTCACTAGGCAATAGGAATTTTGGGACCACTGTCATATATGTGGTCCATGACTGACTAAAATTTTGTTATGTGATATATGATTATGTAAATGAAAGAAGAAGTGTTACAACTGATACCACAGAGGATTATAAGGAGCTACTATAAACAGTTATCCATCAACATTTTGGATAACCCAGACTAAATGGATAAATTCCTAGAATGAGAAATAGAAAACCTGAACAGACCAAAAACTACTAAGGAGACTGAAGATGTAGGCAAAACAGTTGCATTAAAGAGAAGCCCAGGACTAGATGGTTTCACAGGTGAATTCTGCCAAACATGTAAAGAATTTTTTTTATAAAGATACATTTATTTTTATACAAGAACCAGGGTACAGGCCAGATGCACGGGAGGGTGAGAGGATTCACCAGAGACAGAGCAGGAACCAGAACAGGCAGAGGGACTGAAATACACTGCTGAGGGGAGCAGTGGGCGAGACAGGAGAGGTCTGCTGCACCATGTGGGACTCTCGCCGGCTGGCCTGGATCGAACCCATGCTGCAGAGGCTGCAGACAGCTTCACAGTGCGGTGCTCAACTGCCTGCGCCACCAGGGAGGCCCAAACATGTAAAGAATTAACTCTGATATCTCTTAGACTCTTTCAAAAAATTAAAGAGATGGGGATACACCCAAACCCATATTATGAGACCACCATTATACTGATTCTAAAGTCAAAAACAGTAAAGGGAAAGAAAACTGTAAGCCCATACCCATGATTAATGTGATGCAAAAATTTTCAACAAAATTCTAGCAAACCAAATTAATTAGCCCAAGAAAAGAATCATAACTCATGCTCAGATGGGTATATAAGCCATAACCTTGGGATATAAGCATGGTTCAGCATATTTAAATCAATAAATATAATAGATAAAAATTACATAGTCATCTCAATAGATGCAAAAAGGTGTTTGACAAAACCCCATACCCTGTCATAACAACTCTTCAATAAACTGGGTTTTGAAGAATTATACTTCAACATAATTAAGGTCATATTGACAAAACCACAGCTAACATCATACTCAATGGTGAAGTAAGCTTTTCCTCTAAGATGAAGAACAAGGCAAGGGAACCCTTTCTCACCAATCCTACTCTATATAATACTGGGAGTCCTAGGCAGAGCAAAGAGGCAAGAAAAAAGAAATAAAAGGCCCCCAGAAGAGAAAGGTGAAAGTAAAACACTCTCCTTCTGCAAATGACAATCATATATAGAAAACCCCAAGACTCTAACAAAAATTATCTGAGTAATAATTAAATGATGTAATGTTGCAGGATGTAAAATCTATAAAAATCAGTTGCATTTCTATACGCTAACAACAAAATATCTGAAAGTGAAACAAAGAAAACAATCCCATTTATAGTTGTATCAAAAAAGAATAAAAGATGTAGAGAACAGATTTAACCAAGGTGAAACATCTGAAAACTATAAGATTAATAAAGGAAAGAAGACACCAAAAATAAAAAGATACCCTGTGTTTGTGCATCAGAGGAATTAAGTGTTAAAATGTGCATACTACCCAAAGCCATCTATAGATTTTATGCAGTTCCTATGAAAATGCAATGGCTTTTTTTATAGAAATAGAAAAAAAAACCCTAAAATTCACATGAAACAACAAAAGACCCTAAATCTACAAATTTTGTGAAAGAAGAACTAAGTTGGAGATAGCATACATTCCTGATGTCAAACTATACTACAAAGCTATAATCAGAAACAGTTGGGTATGACATAAAAAGAGTCACATAGACCAGTGGGAAAGAATCAAGGTCCAAATATAAACCTGTGCATGCAAGAGAGCTAAGAATATACAATGGGGAAAAGATAACCTTTTAATAAAGGTGTTGAGAGAACTGATTATTCACATAAAAAAGAATGATATTGGACTTTTATATCACTCAAAAATTAACTTGAAGAGGAGGCTGGGAATAAAGAGGGAGGGGCTCCAATAGACTGGTGGAGGACTATGGGTGTCTTGGGGGTGGGTGTTGGTGGTGACATAAAGAGGTGTGAACTTACACTGTCGAATCATATACAGTGTTGTAAACCAATGCTACCTCAATTTAAAAATACAAAAAAAAAACCCTTGAAATGGATTAAAAATTTAAATGCAATTCCTGAAACTGTAAAACTACTAGGAAAAAACATAGGGAAAATGCTCCGTGGCATTGCTCTTGGCAAAGATTTTTTGTATATGACACCAAAAACACAATCAATAAAACAAAATTCAACAAGTGGGAGTAAACCAAACTAAAACTTATGCATAGCAAAAAACAAAAACAAAAACAAACCAACCATCCAACCAAACAAACAAAACCCAACAAAATAAGAAGGGAACCTACAGTTAGACACAATGATTTGCAAATAAAGTGTGTCCTGCCCCCTCCGGTTTGTAGGAGGGAACTGGGGACCAGGCTGTTTCTTGTTTAAAATTAAAATCTCCACCTCAATGGGGAGGGCACTTGACAGGGTGAGGAAAACAGGATTCCCTACCATTTTGAAGATAGCTCTTGATTGGGTGTTTGATAGATGCTGTAAGTCATCGTCTCTAGACTCTGGCCAAATTGACTGACTTGTTGATATTTTTTCCTTTGATATTTCTGTTGGGAAAGAGCTTGGAGCTTCTGCTTGTTCCATTTTGCAGACAATAGGCAATGCCTTTATTCATATGCTACATTTCAAATGTTTGTTCTCCCTCCTTTTATTCGTGCAATTCCCTCTATGCTTTGTTTCTCAAGCTACCATTGATTGTAGGGTCTGTAGCTATCATCCTCGAATTGGCAAATAAACAGAGGACCTAGGATAGAATTCTTAGGAACAGAAGAGGAAGAGGACCTTGTGAAAATACCGAAAATGAATTGCTAATGGAATGTGAAGGAAAGTATAAGCAAATGCGGTCAATTGCATTATAAACAAAGTACATCTTGAACTTTCATACAATGAGTTCATTCTATCTCCTTGACTTAAAAGAATATAGTTGGTACCTTATTACAGCATTTTGAGTCACCAGATTAAACATCTTTTAAAAAATACTGGGAAAAAAATAGTGTATTATTAATTTCATTACCTTCCTGAAGATGGCATCAGTGCTCTAGGAAATAAAACTCTGTATTTCATCCCTGCCTTTCCTTTTCCTCCAAACTTGGAAGAAAGTGTGTTTCTAACCAAAGTAAATATAAAATGTTTTTCTGCATTCTTTCTCCTTGATTATGAACTTTTAAATATTGGCCTCATAGAATGTGTCGGGGAGATAGAGTTTTTTGAAGAGTTGGATTAGTTGCTTTGAAGTTTTGGTAGAATTTACCAAGAAGCCATCAGATACTGGGGTTTTGTTCTTACGGAAACTTCTCATTTCTATTTCTGTGCTTGCAGTTGGATTGTTTAAGCTATGTATTTCATCCTGGTTCAGGTTTATCAATCTAAAATTTGTCCATTTATTCAGGGTTATACAGTTTGTTTGCCTAGAGATGTTCACAGTAAGTACATTCTTACGGTCTTTTATATTTCTGTGGTATCTGTTGTAATTTCACTTGTGATTTGATTTAGTTGGGTTTTCTTTCTTCTTGGTAAGCTTCACTAAGGGGCATGTGGATTTTGTTCAGTTTTTCAGAGAACTGGCTCTTGGTTTCACTGAATTTTTGGACTGTCTTTTTGTTTCTGTTTCATTTATTTCTGCTCTGAATGTTATTATTTACTTCCTTCTACTGATTTTCAAATTTGTTTGTTGTTTTTCTAGTTTCTTCAGCTGTAGAGTTAAATTGCTTGAGTTTTTTGGATTTTTTTTTGTTGTTGTTGTTGATGTTTTTTTGCTTTTTCGTGTAGACTATATTGCTATGAACTTCCCTCATAGTGCTGTTTTTAAAGCATCCTATAATATCTGGTAATTTGTTTCTCTATTTTTGTTAGTGTACAGAAAGATTTTTATTTCTTCTTTGATTCAAGAGCTTTTCAGAAGCATTTTATTAGACTTCACGTGTTTTGGTTTACCCCGGGGGTCTTTTTGTGGTTAATTTCTACCTTTGTACCATTGTGATCTGAGAAGATATGTGATATAATTTATATTTTTATACATTTTCTGAGACATGTTTTGTGTCCCAGTATATAATCTATTCTTGACAATGTTTCATGTGCTCTTGGGAAGATAGCATATTCATTTCTCTTGGGATGGAAATCTCTCTAAATGTCCATTAAATCCATCTGCTTCAACACTTCATTTTTTTCCCCTTTAGTTTTTAAATTGAAGTACCATTGTTATACAGCCACATTAGCATTTTGACAGATTTGTAAGATTTTCCCCCTTCAGGTGTAGTCACCACAACACTTCCACCACCAAAGCAACCAAAGTCCTCCACAATAGTCCATTGTGCTCCCTACTCCCCTCTCTGTTTTCATGCCTCCTCCTCTGGATGCCTCAGATCTATGGTCAGCTTTCAAGGGTTGCTTTTAAAGTTTGTCTTTGTCTGACCTGTGTTTGGTTCCTCTCTATTCCACATACAAGTGGCACCATCCAATATTTATTTTTCTCCTGGTGACTTATTTTGCTTAGCATAATACATTTATTTTTATTTATTTATTTATTTTAAATAATAAATTTTATTTTTATATTCCCCCATACAATTGCAAACCCCCCATTCTGACCCCAATCCCTCCCCTCCCGCCCCCCACCCCCCAAAAGTGTCTCTGGTTCATAGTTTTTTGTTGATTTTGATTTTCACTTTCTTATAGTTATTCATTTTCCTGGTCCCTTATTTAAGTTTTCTAGATTCCTGCTATGAGACCA